CCCCCCCCCCCCCCCCCCAGTTTGTTTGTTTTTTTCCCGTGGGGTGTTTAAAGTGAAAATTACAGCAAACGTTGCAAAGAGGCTGTGGGAGACAGGGGTCAGACCTGCAGCAGGGGGAAAGCGGTGCAGGCAGGGTCTGAACAGTGTTAGGCAGGATTTCCCGTGCTGCCCTGTCCTGTGAGACCCCCTGGTCCTGGGGGCTGGAGAAAATTGCATCTGCTGTGGGCAGTAAAACAGAAACAGTAAAAAGTTAAAAGACGTCTTGGGCTCTCCCTGGCAGGGTGCAGAGTCAGGGGGACTTTTGGCTGGAGGGAAATAAAAGCTGAGCTGCTTAAGGGAGAAATCGGAGCAGCAGCCGGGAGGGCAGCAGGGGCTGGCAGGGGAGGGCAGGGATGCTGCCTGGCCAGGGCTGATATCCCTGTGCTGCAGGGCCACCTCTCAGGGGGATGTCGGGATATGTCCCCACTGGGGACACCAGTGGGGAAAGATGGGGAGCAGGACCAGAGCAGGATGTCCCCAAATGGGAGTGCAGCACTCGCTGTCCTCCACGGGTGGCCATGGTCCTGGGGGGGGACCAGGACTGGAGCTGGGTGGGGGGACAGTGCTGGCCACCGGGACAGGGACGGGAGGTGGAATATACCTTTCCCAGGCACCGGTTCCCGCCCCATCACACCTCCCACTGCCCCATTTGACATCCCTTCTCCCCAGCCCCCTCTGTCCCCAGGAATGAAGCCTGGATGGCCCAAATGCCATCCCTGGCTTTGCGGGCACAGCCCGGGTAAGGTAAACCAGCCACCCCAGCACCAAAACCACCCTGATAAAACACCGAAGCTCATTTGGGGTTTACATCCAGGCATGGGGCTTCGTCAGCCTTTAAAGCTCATTGGCTGCCCTGCAGCAGGCTCTGCTCCTGTGCTGTGGGGCTGGGAGTGCTCTGCCCCTTCCCTGCTCCCTCCCTGCCTCAGTTTCCCTCTTATTAAAGGTGGGGGGGATTAGAAAGGAAAGAAACCCCCAGCCTCCCTCAGCTCCTCCTGCTCCTGGGGACTTTCTCGTGGCTGTGCCGTGGGGCTGGTTCCAGCTCCGCAAGTCTCGCAGCAGAGTGGGGAGGCCAGCCAGTTGCTCTGGTGCTCATCCTTGTGTCTCTGTATGTCTGTCTGTCTGTCCCTCCCCATCAGAGTGCTGTGACTGGGAGGAGGACTGGGAACCAAAGGGCTTTGAGGCAGGTTTTGAGTAGCAACCCCCGTTTCAGAGGCTCAGCCCCAGGCCTCAGGGCAGGAGGGTGCAGGCGGTGTGAGCAGCAGGGATTACGGCTGCTATAAAAAGCACCAGCATCTCTTGCCCCTGCTTCCTAAGGCGCTTAGGGGAGGAAAGAGGGACTTAAAGAGCAACCTCCTGCACTGAAGAGGTGCAGAGACTGGAGCAGTTGGAGCAGCCCAGCACCCTCATCAGCCCCCTTCCCTCTCAGCATCCCCCAAAATCTTCCCCGGGTAAAGCAGCCTCCAGCACCTCTTCCCATGGACCTTCTCCCTGGGCCCCTGGTGTTGGATGGCCAGACCCTTGTCCCCTGCTTGGAGGGTGTGGAGGACAATGAAAGGGCTGGGGGAGGCGGAGCGGGGGTCCTGGTGAGTGAGAAGAGCAGATGAGGTTGTTGTACCATTTGCATCGGCCCCCATACAGCTCTCCCTTTCCCATCCCTGCAGCCTTGCACATCTGCCTGGTCCTGTCCTGCCACCCTGCTTCAGAGGTCCTCTGAGGATGCTGGACATGTCCTCCAAAATGCAGCCAGCTGCAGGGGCGGGTGGCTGGACTGAAAGCCACTGATTTCTTGGAGGGACAGGGGCTGCTTTCAGCCAAAAGCCACGCTCTGCCTCCAGTATCTGGAGGCGAAATCGTTCCACAGCTTCTTGGGACTCTCCAACAGGCTCGCAATCATCCTCAGAGCTCAGCACTAGTGCAGTGTCTGGTGTCATGTTTGGGGACGCATTAGGGGGAAGGCAGCTGCCAGATGAAGGCAATGATGCAGGGATGGGGGGATGTGAAGGAAGGTGGCGTGGGAAACTGCTGTCCTCTGCAGTTTTGCCCCAGCATGTGGCAGGTTCCAGTGGGGTCAGTAGAAAAAGCAGCTACAGCTATGGGATCCTGCACAGCGCCAGTGCCAGTCTGGTTCCTGGCGTTGCCCAGGCGTGACTGTGGCTCACAGAGATGGCTGGTGGTTCTGCCTGCCATGCACACCACTGTAATGTTACCCAAGGGCTGGGTTGTTCCGAGGGATGGACCCAGCACAGGATCCCTCCCTGCATCCCTGCAAACGAGGGTTTTCAAAGGGGGGGTCCTGGGTCCAGGAGGCTAAGGAGGGGAGTGAGCCGAGGACACTTCTTCCTTGGCCCCTTCCCAGCCTTGAGCAACCCGGTGGACCCTGGTGCAGGCGGCCACAGGAGGGAGCTTGGCTCCTTGCTTCACCTCCTGCTCAGCGGACAGTGGCCTGGGGTGGGTGACAGCCACGCTGGCCCTGGGTGTGAGCTGCTGCTTGCTGCAGGAGCAGCTCCCCATGGTCAAACCACATCATGTGGGACGTGAGATGTCTTGGGAAGGGAGCAAGAACCCTGCTGGAGCAGAAATGCTCCATCCTCAGGGAAGCCCCCACCTTATTTCCAGCAGCTGGTGGGCGATGGGTCCCCGATGCAGGAGAGCCGCTGGGGCTGTTGCCTGCAGCGACAGGGGGACCAGTCGTGCTGGTGAGTGGCATGTCCCCATGGCAGGGACCAGTCCCTTTGAGACCAGTGCCAGTCCTGGACACATGGTCTCACCGTCCCTCCACAGCAGTGGTCAGGGGCACCTGGGCGACCCTGATGCCCAGCCTCTAGATGTTGAAAGGGCAGGGGAGCAAGGGAACCAGCCCCCCCAACCCATACTATCTCCCATCCCCCAAGAATCTGCACCTTTCCAGTTTCCCCAGCCCACAGCCAGTTCCAGCGCTGCAGCCTTGCTGCCAGGGGCTGACAGACCTGGGATCACCCCTCAGCATCCCCCGCCGCGCTGCCATGGCATCGCTGCCTAGCTCCCCTTCACAGCCCCAGCACAGGAGCTGGCTGGCAGCTGCCAGAGCAGCCACATTACAAACCGAGGGCCAAAAAAATGGGAGAAAAAATGATGGTGGCGGCGATGACGCATCTGATTCGAAATGGTTGATTACTGGGGGGAGGCTTGTGGTACTGCTACTGCCATTGCTTGCTGCAAAGCTGACAAAGCCCCAGCGTGGGACCACTAGTAATGGCTCTCACTAAAAGCCATCAGAGCAGGAGGTTGAAACCACATCCATTTTCCCTAACTGCTTTCAGAAGGGGAAAATGATGCCCTGGCCCCTGCTATTTAGGAGTGCACTGCGTTCCTCAGGCTGGGAAAGGCAGGGCTCATTTCCCTGAATGCAGAGGCAGAAGTCCTGGCCACTTGCGTTTTCTCGGGATTGGGTCTCTGGCCCATCAGTATAGCCTTTTTTTTAAGTTCAGGGAAGATGTGGAGTTCAAAAGGATCTTCATAAGGAAAAGGCACTGGGACCAAGCTTGTTCCTTGGTTCCGCTCTGCTGTATACAGAAATGATAGATCCTGGTTTTAAACCCCACGCTTGCCCAAGAGCTGGCCTTAAAATACCAATGAAACCATCAGGATGCTCCTTTTCCCACTCGGTTTGGGAGCTCACTCCCCACCTTGGCTGCTGCTGCCTTCCCCTCAGCCCCTTAAAAAGGGCAGGAGCGGGAATCTGCCTGGAGTTAGCAAAAGCAAAGGATGCCCTTGGGCAGAGAGAAGTGTCAGGAAGAGAGAAGGGCAGTTTTGGGTGGCAGTGCCCTGGCAGGGAAGAGGAAGGCACCCAGGGAGACAAGGAAGGTCTCCCTGCTCCATCAGTGCATGCACATGTGGCTGACCCCAGCACAGAGCCGGCACCCCTCATGGTGGCAGCCAGTTTGGGGGTGACGAGGGGCTTGGCCACGCTGGGATGAGTCTGAGGGGTGCAGCCATATAGGGGCTATTTTCCCCCATGAAGAACTGGAGTCCCTGCCCTCCCCTCCAGCCACTTTCCTCAGAGAACAGGGGTTTGCCAGGTCCCGACAGGACTGCTCCTGTTCAGGGGATGCTGGGCTCAACCCGAGCTGTTGGTGGCAGGGAGGTGGTGGCCCTGGCCTGGCCCTGGGCACAGGGGAGGAAGGGTCCTTGGGGAGGTGGCCCTGGGCTGGTCCTGGGACTGTTATCCCTCTGCCCCACAGCTGCAGGATGCACCCAGTGAAACAGGCTGTGAGCCGGAGCTGCAAAACTAAGGGGAGGAGTGATGGCCCAGGCAGGTCATTGATATACTGGGCTGGATTTGGCCCCTGCTGATCTTTCAATGCCTTTCACAGCCCCAGCTCCCTGCTGCATCCTGAGGCTGTCCCCAGAAACACAGACACCCCCATTTCTCACTCAGCCTCCTTGTCTCCTTCACCCTTTTCACCACCCCATACTCGGGAGAGCCACATGCCAAAGGACTGCCCAGCTCCTCTCTGGCTCTTTTCTCTTGCGAGATTTGTTTGGTGGGTGTATTTTGCATTTGGGTTTTTTTTGCTATTCACAGGGAAGAAAGAGAGGTCATGAACCCATGGGCAGACATCAGGCCAGGACTGACAAGCCCAGGAGAAGGAGCAATGTTGCCCACCCCGGCAAGGTCCTTAGAAGCTGGCAAAACTGGGGCGAGGAGGGCTTTGCTCCATGGTGCAGGCTCTGCCCATCCCCTCCTCTTGCTGCCCGGTACTGCAATGTGGCTGCTGCACCGTCCCGCTGTGCCATCCCACCACTCCATCCCTCTGCTCCATCCCGCCTGGCCCGGCCACCGTGCCGGTCATGTCTGCTGCGGCAGGTGGCAGGTCTCGCCGATGGCAATGACCACGTCCTGGGGCTGGCGGTCGCGGCGTCGCGGCACCTCAGGCATCTCGCTCATCTCATTGACGCTGTTGCTGATGCAGTTGACGTCGCTCTTGTTGCTGTTGTCATCCGGGCTGGGGCCGAAGATCCAGTCTGGAGGAGGGAAAAGCACAAAACAAACCCCTGGTTACCTCCGGCTGTTCCCAGAGTCAAAGCTGTCTGGGAAATCGCTGCCCCCTGATGCATCCAACCCCTTGCTCTGGGTGTTCACCCCCAGGAGGGTCCCTTGCCCACCTCTGCCCCTCTGGCCCCCTCGAAGCCCCTGGTACTGGGGTCTTTGCTCTTCCCAGCTCTGGGCTGGTTTTCAGGCTGCTGGTTTCTCGAAGCCCTCCTGGTTTAGGCAAATGAAATCACCCTGCCAATCCCAAAAATGAAAATGAAGTGCCTCCGAAGTGAAGTGTGCATCTGGGCTCGCTGGCATGGGAAAGCAATGGATTTCCTACAGCGTGTTTTTGCTGTCAGAAACAGAAGGGACAATTAAATAACTGTGTGACATCCAAATGGGGCTGGAGGCATGGCTGGGGACACGGCTTATCCGCCATGGGAATGTATCACAGCCACAACAGAGCTTCAAACCCTCCATGGGCTGCTCTGGGGCTGCGCTTCTGGCAGGCCACTGGAGCACCAGGACGTGGCTCTGAGCTGATCCAGTCACTCTCACAACCCTGGGGGTGACCAATCCCCCTCCAAAATACAGTGGTCGCTGCTGGATGCTGGTGGGACCGAGATGTCCCCTGCAGCATGAGGGGCTGTGGCTCAGTGGAGGCAGGTGCTGCCACTTCCCAAATATCTGTTTTTTCTGGGATTTGACTTTGGCTGTTGGCGTGGCGAGAGGCCATGCCCAGCCATGAAGGGGAGGCACCAGCAATAAGGAAACCAGAGCTGGGGAAGCCCAGGAGAGAGGGAGAGGAGGCCCTGGGGCTGGGCAGGACCCGGCGGTGGTGGGCAGCAGAGCACCAGCTTCAACCCTGCTCCCAAAATAAAGTGGAGACAGCTATCAGGAGGCAGACAAAAGGACAAGCCGGGTTTAGTTGTTTCTGAGGGACTCTGCTTATTCGCCACCGGATCCCTCTTGAGAAATAATGTTTCTTTTCTTTGTAGCATAGGATATTTCAGAGTCTTTTCTGTCCCCACAGAGGATTTCAGTTGCAGCTCTTCGCTGGAAGAGGCAGGCTGCCTGGCAGAGCAGGGACAGAGAAATGCAACCACAGCGAGAGGTTGCCCTTTTCACGGGCTGCGGAAAAAAGTCTTGCAACAAAACCAAGGCTGAATGATGGCAAATGCCAGGGTGGGATCCCAGGTGTGAAGAGAGAGGAAGATCTAATTTCTTGGGACACCAGTGGTGAGGAGGAGAGATGGGAAAGACCTGTAGATATCCCTGTTCTCAGTGTGTGTACCATAGGTTGAATTTGGGGGTTTTTTGGAAAGCCCCGAAGCTTTTCCTTCTTTTTTGAAGAAAAGCCAAAAGTTTTGTCATTTTTGAAATGCAATATTTGACTTTTTTCTCCACCCTGAAGCCATTTGGCCACGCCATCCCCAAGGGTGCGGGGCATGGCTTTTGGGGTGACGCTTCTGCTGTGGAGCCAGGGTGGGTGTCCACCCTGCCACGGGGGCTGGGCAGGGAGCAGAGAGGGTTGTGCCCCGCTGCCTGGCGTGGGCTGGTTGGACGTGGGGACAGGGTCCAAGGAGGAGAGAGCTCCCACCACGCTGGGTGCAGGCAGCATGTCCAGAGAATGACTGTTTTGTCTTGTTTTTCCTTTTTTGTTCATGTCCATCACTGTGCCAGTGGGGTCTGCTGTTTGTGCGATGGGAAGGGCAGGTGGAGAACCACCACAGTCCCCACAACTACTGCAGTGCTGCAAGAGTGATTGGGGAGCTCAGCAAAGACATGGTCCAAAGGCTTTTGGGGAGCCCTGGGTCTGCCCTGAGTCCCAACTGGGGCATTTAGCTTTCACTTGCATGGTCCACAGCTCCCACCAGAGCCTGGGCTCCCCATCACAACCCGTCCCTAAGAAAATCAGCCAAGCTCAGGAGGCTCATTTAGGTCTTTTTTTTTTTTCCTTTATAGCCTCCATTTTGCTTGGATTTACTGGATTTAGACCAAAGCCAAACACTCCACCGGCTGCTTCCTGGCCTGACCCCGCAGCCTGGGCTGGGTCCACGCTGGCCAGACCCCCTCTCCTGCCCCCAAAACCTCCCAGGCTCACACCAGCCCCTGCAGAGCCGCTTGGCATGAGGAGGATCCGGAAGGCAATAACAAGATTGCCTCCTACAAATACTATTAAAGGTCTCGGCTTGCTTTCCTTGACGTCAGCTGTAAAACTCCAGTGGGAGCAGGGGCTGGTCCGGCAGGGAAGAAGGGGAATAACCTATAAAAAAAAAGAGGTGACAGGTCCCCACATATCCCAGGAGCCATCGGGTGAGGGTTGTTGCATGCAATGGGAAGCAAGGACCACAGCTTTGCATGCCTGTGAGCAAGGGGAAGTGGCATTTGGTGGCCAAATGATGAACCCTTGGGGACATTTGCAGGCAGCCGAAGAAGCAAGAGCCAGACACGGCACTGTGGCACAGTGGTAAAGGCAGAAACGCAGAGGATAGGTGTTTTGGGAGAGTGCCAGGGGGCTCAGAAAAAGCCATTTCCATGGGAAAAGGGTCATGGTGCATCGTCACCAAAGGGGATGTGGCTGGCCGGGGTGCGTGGGGAAGGCGGCTTGCGTGAAGCTGCCGCAGTCTAATTCCCGGCTAAGTGCGGGCTGGATTGTACATGCTAATCCGAACTGCTGCTTCCCTGGGAATTATTTCTGGAGCCTGCTGGATCTAATTACCCGGTAATCTGCAGGAAGATGTAATTAGGCTGTCATTAGAGGGTATTTACTGCGATGCCTTTATGATTTGACTGTGTAAGTAAGGAGTGAAGTAATTACACAATTACACGTTATTTGTGGCCATTTATGGCCTGTAACTTCAGCGTGTTGCCATGTGCGGAAGAAGGGAGCGAGGCCCTGTGGAGCCGGTGGAGGATCTCCTGCCAGCAGGACCCTGGAGAAACAACCATAAAAATGTCAGCACCCCCGTCTTCCGTGCCAGCCACCGCTGGCCGGCTCTGTCCCAGCTGTGAATGCTCCTCCCCAGCTTCTCCCTCCGGCTCCTCTCAGCCTGCAGGTGAGAAACTGGGGTCTCCCAGGGTCCCCCATGGGTTGTCTGGGGAGGGACGAGGGGGAGGAGAGGGGGGACCTGCACATCTTTAGTCCTGATGTGCTTAAACTTTGTTCTGCTGCAGAAGGACCTTTGCAGGGGATGGGATGCACAACCTCACATCATGCACAAGCATGTGTTAGAAACCTCGGATAATGAACCCTGCAGCGGGGTGTAATCAGGTAATGGAAAGTGGTGAGGGGCCGGGAGCCAAGGGATGGTGGTCACTGGCTGAAGGTAGCTGAAGCCCTTAGCATCATGACAAGTATTTCTCCCTCCATCCCTTATATCTGGCAGAGGGTCTGCATGAGCAACAGAAAATAGACACAATTGCCACTGAGAGGAAAATGAAACCCTCTTTTGGAGCAAAGTCCACATTTGGATTCACACAGGCTCCACCCAGAAGGCAAGGGAAGTCAGGCTGACCCAGGGCACCCAATGGACCTGGGACATCCAGGGGCACAGCTGGGGCGAGCAGGGGTCTCACAGTGTGCTCCAGGGCAGTGGCATCCCCGGACCCAGTATGGTCACACTTTGGAGGTAAGAAAAGGCATTGCTTGCCCCTACCCAGCCCCTGGAAGGAGCTCGTAACATGAGCTGCAAAATCAGGGCATGCATATGGGCATGTATGAATGCCTCAGATAAAAGATGGGGACAAAGTGACATTGTCGGCCAGGCTGGGGGAGCTGCATCTAACCCAGAGACACCTCTCCCTGCTTGCTGGGCGCTGCCGAGGCTCAGCGTGCCTGCTGAGGTCTTGCAGGGTGAAAGGCGTGATGGAAAGTGCTGAGGTGGGGTGAGATCGATACAGAGCAATTGATCCAAAGCAGCTGGGGAAAGGAGATAGAGTAGCCTGGGTCAGTCAGAAGCTGCAGAATAGCATTTCTCCCTGAACAGCAGAGTGACATGGCACAAAGTGCCCCTGCACCTCCCTGGCTCTGCCTGAGTCTCCAACAGCATTCCTGGAAGCAGGACCCTTGGGATGTGCTGTGTTTTTTGGGGGCAGAAAAACACTGTTCAGGGCTGCCCAGATTTCACAGTGTGTTTTACCCCTCCTCATACCAGCAGCATGAGGGACGGTCCTCACTCGGAAACCCCTTACAGTGCAGGCAGCAGGGAGCAGCCTCCTGCTGCCTGTGTGCACAGGGGCACAGGGATGCTCTATGCCCAGTCTCATCCCAGTGGGGTGGCCAGGTCCCCTGTATTCCTTGGTGACAGCATGGGATGTCCACGAGGCACTTCAGCCACTGGACATGAGATGTCCCTGACAGAAGAGCAGAGGGAGGTGGGAGAAAGGGCTGAAATCTAAATGCAGCCCAGTGAGTGAGACATTCACACTCCCCGCAGAGATAGAAACAAGCAACGGAAGGGGAAACATGTTAGATGAACAATCAAACTCGTGCTCTAGTTTTATTTGCTTTAAATGGAGCTGGGTGTGAAAACAGCTGCTAAAAAAGCCCTTTTCCCAGCAGCAGGAGCAGAAGACCTCTTTGTCTGAAACAGGTCCCAGCCCAGTGATCGCCTCGTACTCTGCAGCAAGGCAGGACCAGCTCTAGCCAAAGCATTCCCGATGGACACAAGTTCAAGGGTATCCCTCGTGTTTGACATGATGCAGCAGTCACAGCTGGACACTAGCAGCACACTGTATCTGTCTCATTTGCAGGACAGACTCTGTTTATTCATTAGCAAAATCAGCAAATATCTCCCAGGTTTGTTCTGCTGGATTAAATCTTTCTGCCTCTGGCAGGTGTAATTTGTTAGCAAGAAGTCCCCCTTTTCCCCCACATTCACATCTTTCTAAATTAACTTGCTGTCAGAGCCTGTTCTTCCTCCCCTGTTATGCAGAAATTTCTTAGGTCAGCCATGCTGGGTGAATCAAAACTGTCCTGCACCCTGAG